TAATTCCGTCATTAGGGGACAGTGACAGAGTTACTCAGGAACAATCAGGTTCTTAATATAACAGCATGTGAAACATTTCCGTGCTCTGTAACACCCCTCACATATCAGTATAATTCTTCAGAGTTTCATATCTGACATACCACAGTTATTAAAGAGCAACTGTTTATTTCTAACCCACTAACTGCTGATTAGTCCGAGACATCTTCACAGAGTGCATGAGGATAGTCCTCTTGCCTAGAGATAAGGGGGATAGTTTGTCATTCTTCTATGCTCTGAGATCACTGGTGGGATTCAAGAACAAACTAGAGAGGATAAAAACCCATTCTTGAAAAAATTAGATAAATCATTTTGAAAAAGGACTCCAGTGAGATTTTGTTTGAAAGGGCAGAAAATAGATCAGTAATAGGACAGAAAATTGGGAAACAATTACTTGGGTAGAAAGAAGAGAATAGGTTGTGATAGTGAAGGGATATGGTAAGAAAGCCCTGGAACTGGTTAGACAAGGAGGTTGGACTTCTGCGAGCCTGAAGAGTAGGAAGAAAGGAAGGAAGACAGCTGGATGGAGAGGGCAGCAACTGAAACTGGAAGGAAAGAGATAGGAGAAACCTCTACAGCAGGACTCGGTTGCATAGATACAGATGTCTGGTACCATTTTAGATGCCCATCTTTCAGTCGCCACCTCAGAAGGTTCTCTGTGATAGCTGCCAAAGCCATGCATATTTCCTGGTTACTGTGAAATGACTGATCATTCTCTGGATATCACTGTTTAAGCAGATGAGTTCCATCCGTTCTGTCTGAATACTGATTCTGGGACTGGATGTGTGGAAGAAAAAGCTTCTGGGAAGATTGGCTTTTGGGCACGAAACACAGAAAGAGAGACTAGAGCTGATGGGCAGGGAGAAGGAAGAGGCTTCTGTTATGGAGACTGAATAGGCAAGAAAACTTATTTGAGAGGGATATCCATTTATGTTGAATATGAGGACCAGAAAGACAGAGGGAGGTGGGATACAACAGGAAAAAAAGCCACTTCCCACTGAAAGTCTTCCATCCGGAGCCTAGGATGGGTTCCAGGATGCGGAAGTTCCCTCATTTATGTGCTTTTTGTCTGTGAAACCCACTGACTAAACATTCTTCTTTAGTCTTAGCATGATGTTTTCGCTATTTTACTTTGACAGCTCATATGGCTGAAATCTATGAAATAGTTTGCAAGCAGTTTATGTAAAGATTTATATGAGAATAATTAGTTTACAAGAGTAGATCTTATTTTCCATCTGGTTTTATAACAGAAGTTAATATGATCAAAATAGCAGATATGTGGATCCTCTTTTAATAAATCAGTTTACAAGTCAATTAAAGAATCTGCCTACTTAAAAAATACATTATTACAGAAGAATATGACTCTCTTAAATATGCTGAATCGTTATGACTGCTTTAAGCCACAGATAAAATAGAAGATAATTGGAAATAAAATAACTATTTCTAACAGTTCCAGAAGTGTTAGCAGTTGTCACAATAGGATCTACTTAGCTATTAATGTCTGGGCTTGTGAAAAAGAGGCTTGCTGCTTCAATTCTTCAACTGCAGTGTTAAACCAGTATTTGCCTGCAATTTATGTTATCTGACAGAAAATTTTTCAGAATTTATTTCAATTTTTTTAAGGCTTATTAACCATGAAAAAAAATGCTTATATTAGTGGAAACAGAATGAAATGATGAATAAAAAGATAGCCCATTAAATTGAAAGCAAGGTCCAGGTCTCTGCCTAATTCAGACTGTTAACACTTTCATGCTTTTTCTGGGTTCACAGAATTAACATCTCTCTAAATGACTCAGTTTTGCAATTTTGATCATTTCTTATAAACCAGTGTAGATGGTTTACATTTTTCACTGGAATTTTGATGGAGGTGATCCCCTTGAACTCTTTTTTTTGTATAAATAAACTATTTTCTGTGTATGTGAATATATTTATATGAGCAATTTAAACTTTTTGAGGGGTTCTGCTAACCTGTGCCAGTATTGCCTAAAATATGCTTGTAGACTGTAGTCTTTCTGTTTACAAATGCTGATTTTAAAAATGAAAATGAGGATGAGGGTGGGGATAAAACACACAAGTCACTAAAGTAGGGTTGACACAGATTGTCCTTTAGAAACAATATTTTTCTAAGTGTCAATGTCTTTTCATCTTGAAGGATAAATTGTCCTTTAAAAATCTTCGTACCACAGAAAGCAAGTGTGAGCTGGATTGGACTGTACACACTGTGTTACTCACTGTATTATCTGTTGCAAAAGGATAGGCAAGTGATTACAGGCAGCATATCAAAGACAGAGTTTTTTTAGGGAAAAATGTTTACAGGGTTGGAAAGAGTGATTTGAATCAGGGAACATATCTGGCCTCTAGATGACATAGACTAAATAAAGCTGTTTTCAGAATTGGTATATGTTTTTCAAGGGTTTCTTTTTAAGCATACTTTCAATATTGGTTTCAGTATTATACCCCAAAATTTCTCCAAAGTAGAAAAATATTTTTGGAGCTACTATTATATATATCATAGATATGTGAAAAATATATATTATATAAAATACCTTGCATTCTGAGCCACATAAAATAAAAACTAAATATAACATTTTTTATATTTTTTAGATAGAATGTAATCTTTCAAGGTTTTCAGGTAACACAGATATGTCAAGGAGATACAGTGCTACTGTAATGATCAACAAGAAACAAGCTCTTTCATTATTTTTCTTTTGGGAAAACAAGGAGGAAAGCTCTATTTAAGAAATTTGAAGGCTATGAGTCATTCACTAAAATTATTTATTTTTTTATAATTTGTTCTTAAAGTTTAATGGCTAAGATGAAACAACAGATAGCAAAAGGTAGGGTAATTCTCAGTTCTTAGTCAGTTTTTATTTTTCTCAGGTGATACATGTTAAGAGATAAAATTATAATTTTATTTTTTTACAAAAATACACATGGCTTAACAAGAGGCTAAGAACTTTATGAAGAAATACATGATAAAGTTTAGTGAAAAGTTTAGAACTATTTTCTCTTTTGGCCTTAAAAATCTTAGTCTGTTGGTTTGTTAAGTGGGGAATGAATCTTGTCAAAACAAGTAGGGTGCCAGAACTGTGATATTAAATTTGATATTAAAAGTGTGGCTGGAAATGTGTTACTGAAGTCTACTATGTGTTAAAATAACAGACTTCAGTGATGGATGCAGCAAAGTTGTGTAATATTCTGGGTAAAAGTTCACTGTGGAAATCCAGCGTAGCACATACTAGATGATCTATTTAAGATTTTTAATGAAGACTCAAAGTTCCATTCTCGGTGAGAATCTTTACGGTTTTTCATGATCTAGTTTTCTTGTTTATGGCTTTCAGTTGGCAAAGAGAAAGAGAATCAGATGCTTTTCAGTAACAGTTGAAGGTACTACAGAAACAATAGAATAGCTAACACTGATAAAATTAAGCCAACCATACAGAAGGAAATAGTGGAAGACTCCACAGAAACTTCTTTCTTCCAACTAATCACTTTTTATGAAAGTGATTTAAAGACTTCCAAGATTTCATTTAGATGTCTTTGTTATTTACAAATGAAATAGCTTACAAAGCAGTCTCATTTGAGAGAATAAGTAGTCATGGTGAGTAAAATCTGAAATGGAGTTTCAGAGTTAATCATGCTTATCAGTTTTAGCCTGTCTGTACCTTTAAGATTTAAATAAAGTTAAACCTTGCTGAAACTGAATTAGTTTCCATTAAGGTAGAAGTCATATTTCCTCAGGATAAAAAATCAAAGCAGATCCAGCCAGGGCAGTTTACTCAGGGCTTTGTCCAGTCAAGTTCTGATCTTCTTCAAGCCAGAGATTCTACAGCCTTGCCAATCTGCTCCAGTGTTTTATCATCTTAATGGTAAAATTGGAAAAAAAAAATTCAAAAATTTAATTTTTGCTTTTTTTAATTGATTTCCAACTTGTGTTCCTTGCTTCTCATCCTCTCACTGTACACTTTAGAAAAGAGTTTGGCTCCATCTTCTCTGTACCCTTCCAATTTAGGTAGTTGTAGGGAGCGTTACGATCTTTAATAGTATTTTTACCTTTTCTGTGTGTGTGTGTGTGTTAGTGTAAACAGTTAGCCTGAAGATCTTCATCACTGTTCTGAAACTGGTCTCTGTGAACAAAATGTCCTTTCTTATTGCTGGGAGCTCTAAACTTCCGTTCCAACAGCACAAGGTGATGCAGAATTATTGAAAGGATAATGAATCAGTAGTACAACGTACCAATTAGATTAATTAGATTTCAAAATTTGATGGATAACCATACTGTATGGAGAGATGTAAAGCTATGACCTTACTCCTGAGAGGCAAGAATACAAGCAATTGAGTCTCACTGACATTTATGGCTCTGTGTGTGTGTGTGTCCTTACAGCTATATAGATACATATTTAGGTTGTCTCTCTCTACCATGTCCATTGTCTCCTTGAAGTAGAGTCATTGTTAGACTAATTACAAAGCTCCTGTTAGTTCACCAAGCTCATTTTTCTCCATAAATTGGCAATATGACCACTGGCTCATGTGTTTTCTGTGGTAAACTATGCATTTTTATTAAATCTGAATATGGGGCATTTAAGTTTAAAGATTATTTCTGTTTGTGGTTTCAGTTTTGATACTTCTTTTATGCTACTAGTAATAAAAAGAGGTCATATTAAATATTTCAAATACTGAACAGGAAAGAGCTTTTATGTCACTGTCCAGTGTTGAATTTGGTCCAAAAACTTTTTTTGAAATTAAAAAAAAAAAATTAAGTGGGAAAACTGTGTGGTTTATAATGGGTCTTGGTACATCTTTGTTTAACTTCAATTTGCAAATGTTAATTGACCATGGTTCCTTCCAGTCTGTTCAAATGTTATGGTCGTTAAACTGGAATAAACATTCTAATTTAATTATCATGCAAACATCATTTTTTTGTTTCCTGCAAATATTAATTACCTTTCTTGCTCTTTTTTCAGGGAATGTATATCAAATCAACATATGATGGACTACATGTAATCACAGGAACAACTGAAAATGTAAGCTTCTTTATTCTAAACTACTTTTATCACGCATACAAGTATGTTCAGTACATCTGCAGTGCATTTTGTAATATGAAAACTTGCTTTAAATGAAGCTACTTTTTATTAATACTTTTTTCTGTACATATATTAACTTTGTAAAAACTTGGAACCCTTGAAAATAGACACAGAAAAATATCTACGATGAACTGACTAATAACTAACAATATAACAAGATGAAAACCTTGAATTTGTGTCCTCAATAGTTCTTCCAATACACCTTTCTAATAGTGTTCATGTATATGTTCTCTGACATAAAAGTGTTTTCCTTTATATCAAGTAGATTTTTCTCACATAAGAGCATCGTTATTAGCCTAAAATAATATCTGTTGTATTTAATTTTTGTTCTCTACTTCAGATAAATTTCTCAGAATGTATGATAGTTCAGGTTCATATGAAAAAGAAGTATTTTTCTGTCAAGAAAACAGTAGAAATAATATATTAGGAGGGAAAAAAATCTGCCTCAGGTGTTTATATTGACTAGAGTAGTCAGAAAATTGCAGTTACTATTAAGTATAGTTGTTATCTGAGCAACCCTTACTCTCTGTAGTCAGCTTACTTTAGACAGTGAGTGAATATTGTCATAAAATTATTAATACTTTTTTTCCTAAGAGTTCTTCGTTTTCTTCTTAGAACAGACAGTATTTTTTGTGTGTTTTTTTTTTTTTTTGGTTCTAATTACCAAACTAATTTTAAAATAATGTTAGAAAAATTAGACTTTTGAAGATGATGCCTGTCCGAGGATTGACTCTCAGAAAATTAGTAGCGTCTCTATGCCTAAGCAATTCAGTAAAATAGATTGTAAACTAATACATTTTAAAATAGTTACATTATGAGAAGTATGGGTGGATGTAAAAAATATGGGTAATGGGGAGAGATAACATTATATCTGATATCAAACAGGTTATAGAATAATCTTTGATAAAGCAGAAAGTTTTCAAAGCTAGCAGTAATTACTGGCAGGTCTATCACTAAGAAGGGAGAAATTGTGGAAAGAAACAAATAGATTTTGGTACATAAATGGAAGGGGACAACTGATTTGACAATATCAAAAAAAAACCCGTTAGCTAACAATCTGACTGTTGTGTGAGGATGTATAAAAAGTTCTATTATGAAAATAACCATTCCTGAAAGAATTGCAATAGGAGGAATTAAGCACCATTATATTTTCCATCACCTATAGTAAAAATACAGAAGAGACCAAGAAAAATGTATTAATTATCATTTTCATTGTAGTCCCAGAATGTTAGGCAAATCTGAACCAAAAGCACACAGAAATGCTGCAGCACATAAATCAGTATGGCTGAGCATAGAAAGACTAAACAGTGTGACAAGAATAATGAAGTAGCTTCTAAATACCCTTCTTGTTACTTGACTTGTAAATCGTAAGAATAAATTTGAAAATAATAGATTTACTTGAACTGCTGCAATATTTACTATGAGAGACTTCATAGTAGGACTCATCCCTTCTGTTTTTCATATAGTGTTTTAGTCATACAATTTTCAATCAGTCTTGGATCTCTTTAGCAGCATATAGCTCAATAAATTCCAAGTTTAGATTTTATAAAGCTAATATTGAAATTATGTAATGCTGACACCCAAGGAACATAAAATTAGCACTGTGCAGCTAGCCAAAGATGTAAATACTTGCTGGCATACATCAGTAGGATGCTGGCCAATATGGATGAGCTTCATATGTGATATTTTGTTCTACTTGATGTAGATATATTGAGTACTATTTCATCATACAGTTTTTGTTGCTTAGTTTTTAGACAGTGCAAACCCATGGAAAGCTGAATGATTTGTGTGTCACAATTTGTGAAGAGAATTCTAATGCAAATTAAACTTAAAATTTGTTTGCTTATTTATATTTAAGCCATTGGCAGCATTTAGAAGTATTAAAATAACTATATGTCTATCTTGGGTCCTGAAACAGGAATTATCCATCTTGATTGTGTTGCAACAGATTTTGTTCATAGACTGAATTATTCATGCTATGATTAATCAACTTTTTTACTGTAATTCTAATTCATTGTAGAAATATAATGCAGTTTGTAAGGAAAATATTTATGTATTTATAATTGAAATTCACAGGAGGGGTTACTAAATTGTCAGCTACTGAAATTTTTATTTTGACTAAACCTTAGGTGCCAAAACTTTTTGGTAAGACACCACCATAAAGTTGCTTCTTTGTTTTTCCTAAAACTGTAACCACATGTGCAGATAAACTAGCTTCAAAGACCTTTAATTTCTGGCATTTCATCAAATTGATTTTTCATTCCTTTTAAAAGGATAAATGACCTCAGAGCCAGTGTTTAATTTTAAGAGATAATAATAATTAGTTCAGCCTCATCAAAGTCAGGAAAGGAGCTAAAAAGAGAAAGAATCAGGCCTTTGCTTTTCCAACTAACATCAGCAGAAGTTAAACATTATGAACGGTGGTGTTTACTTCAGTTTCCAGCTTATCTTTTATTCACTCTTTAAAGTGATCAAGTCCGTATTCAAGCTCAATTCCAGCCCTATCTTTCTGTTACATGTTTAGTCCTGTGCAAAAGAGCAGGCTGCCAAAATTCTGCAAGTTTCCACTAAAAGGTAAAGTGACACTGGAGTCAGGTAGTTCTTCACACTATCCTATAAAGTATATTGGTAAAATCCTCTTTATTTTAGTGCAGAAAGACTCAAATGACAGGAGTTGCAATCTGGCTGTAACAATCAGGTAGTTTAGCTGGAGGGCAGGTCTCCCCACTACAGGAGACCCAGAAGCCCTTATGAAAGAACAAGCAGGGATCAAGCAGGTGAGGAGTTGGAGCGTAGCTTGTGACGGGGAGGTTGGGCAGAGAACGGTTAGGAATGATAAGCAAGCAGCAAGCTAAAGGTGAGAGCTGTGTTTGGAATAGCACCTATAACAAGCTTGGAATCACTGTGTCAAATACTGACTATTCACCCTATTTGCTTGGTTCTTCTTACTGATAGATTAATTAATGAAGTCTCCTACTACTCTCCAGCAGCTGTGTAGGCTGCAGAATCTATCGATTAGTCAGCAGGTGCTGACTATTGGAGAGTGGTTTGACCTCCTCATAGATTTGTCTCTGGCATTTTATTCAGAAGTAAATGCAGTCTTTTTCTTCTCAGTGGTGATTTGTGTTTTGGTTGTATTGTCTCCTCTTGTCTTTGTTCCTTGTATTTGTTTATTCTATGTTTTTATTCTTTATCCACAAAAGGGATGGACATGATATGTGGGATTTTTGGTTGGTGAAGACTGTCCAGCTGAAGAGCTTTTGCCTGTTTCTTGGAAGTCTTCATTAGTATGCAGTGAGGTCATTAGTATAAACTTCTAAAAGTCACCTTTGGTTCAGATAAATCTTTTCTTCCCCCGCATTTGACACCTGGCTCTTGTGCTATAGGCAGTATATGTTATAGGCTGTTTCCAAAAGGCATTCAAGAGCTGAACTGAATTTTGATAACATAACTCCTTTTCTGTGAGGAACTTCTTCAACAGTATTAGAGCTAGACCACTCTCTGTAGCTGCAAGTGGCTCTTTTTCTGCCTTTCTTAGGAGTCTGCTTACTTGGACAGGGAACTTGAGCTGTTAGTCTGAGTATTTTGCTTTAAATGTTTCTGTGTTTTTTGAGATGGGACTATCTGTCCTCTCCTCTCGCTGACTCCATATTGAACAAGTGGAGTAAACATTCAACCTTGTCCAAGTGTCCTGGATGGTCTACTTCCTTAATAGCTGACTTGCACTGTGATTTACTTCTCAAGGTGATGTCTCAGTTCTTTAATTCTTTTCTGGTTATTTTCTCTTGAATTTCAAGTTGGTGTACTCTCTGTGAGTAGAACACTCTTGTAAGCTAGTACACAATGCAAGTAAATTGCCTTGAATTCTCAATTCTCTACTCCTGAGTATGACTGCTGATCTGCATGCATTACAGATTTAAGATCTGGTTTCAATGAAGCATGTAAAAATGCTTTTCTAAATAGCAGTCAACTGTCTTCAAGTGGCTTTTCAATGGGTTTTAATCCATTTTAATGTGATCAGAAGAAGCTCTATTTAGGATGAAGGAGTGTTGCAGCTCAGCGATCCCAAAATTATGTGAATGGTTTATACAGAATAGTGTGTGTGTGTGTATATATATATATATATATATATAAAATTTCCCAAAGAGCTAGTCTGTCACTGGCATTATCCATTTGTAAATTACCACTTTTTGTGTTCAAAATGGTTAACCTAGTGCTGTCTTGGAAGTGCAGGAGCTATAGTGTATTTGTAGAGTATTTCCAGTGCACTTAAGCAGTAAAACTGCTGTATAAAGGACTGAGAGACCTGCTTTTCTGTTACACGCATGGTTGGTCCAGCCCTGTCCTTGCAGTAAACAGCATTCATTGACTTAACAGATTTACTTCTGTGTGATGTAAATTCACTCAGTGTATTCCCAGCAAGATTGTGACTGCTCATATTCCCCACAGAGAGGTAAAGAAACTAGAATAGTTCAACCAGGCAAAAAGGCTGGAAGTGGGATTCTAGATTACTTCATCAAATTACCATCTGCAACCAGAAAAAACACAGTTCCTTATAAGTACAGTTTTTATAAATATGACCAATTATTGTTATTTGACAATAATAATACTTCTTTGGGCACTGCTTTTTTGCCTCCTTCAACATTTGTCGTTTTAATTCCTGCTCTTCCCTTCCCCCTTCACACCTCTCATTTAAAGTTAATTATTATCTCTTGTCCTTAGTCTCCTGCTGACCAGTGTAAAAAAATCCATGCTGGTGATGAGGTAATCCAGGTCAACCATCAAACTGTGGTAAGTATTTTGGAAATTCTGTTCTGCAGGCTTTGCCTATTCTGACTGCTAAGAAGGTAATAATTCTTCTTAGAAGGTAACTTTGCCAGACTAGATTGTTATTTATGGCTTTTAAAGAATCATAACCACTGCTTATGCTTAATAAGAAAAAAATACAAGTTGAGTCAGTAACCAGCCCAGAATTAAGCCATATGTGCATTTTGCACAGCTGCTGTGCAGCATCATACTCTTTATATAGGGAGATCCCAGAATACTTACTTGAAGTTCTTAAGCTTCTTGTTACAAGATATGGCAGCTAGTTTAACTTTTTCTCATAAACAGAATTTTGCGCTCTGTTTAATATGGGATTCAGGTTAAAAATGGGTAAGTGCTGCGGCAGACCTATATTCTGAACCTGTTTGGGGGAAAAAAAGTAGGCAATTGACATGCTGATAGAAATCTGTCAGATTTTGCTTTTGTCAATTCCTGCATGCAGATTTATTTTTAAGCAGATGAGCAGTTTTATAAAGTTAGTGAATCTAATAATCTGTTTAAAATCACATAAGCATGTGTATGCAGAAGTGTGTGCCAATCCTAAGGTATTGCAGTACATGATTTGTGTACATTTAAATATGCCTGCCACTGCATTTCTTTCACTACTGTATATATACCAAACTACATTTTGTTTTATGTAGAAATGCAGCAACATGTTTCTGCAACATTGACAGAATTGTATCCTGAAAAAACACACGTGACTTCACCAGAGAATTAATAATCTATTATTTTTTAGTTTAAATTATTTGTAATTGAGCTACAAAAGCCTATCAGAGTACCTTATCTAAAAGCCTATCAGAGCCTCATCCAAGGTTGAATATTTACATTATTTTTCCTGTTTTGTGTTGACACAAGCTGCTGCCTTATAACTGATGTTATTTCCGATGTTGATGATTACTGAAAAAAAATGCAGTCGAGTTTTGTCCCAGTACTATCTTAAGTCACAGGGACTGTCCCTTTTTAAAAAACCAAAATTGTACGTTGCAGAAGAATGGAAGCAGTGTTGTTGGAACTTCAGGTGAAAAGAACACTTGTATTTATTACTTTTAAATGCATGAGTAGCATCGGCAATGACAGCTTCCTAAAATGTTTATAAATTAGCCATTTAACTCTGTCTTGCTGAACCCCATCTCCAAACATGGCAGTGACAAAACTAAGGTATCTCTTTCTGTCTGTCATTTGTATGAGGTAGAAATACGAAAGTCTGACTATTAAAATCTTATGATTAGAGAGCAAAGATTTTCTCTTGAAAATAGTTATAACCTATTAACTTACACTTTACATGTTAATGCAACATGCAGCTCTTACCTATATTAGAGAGGTTCTATGAGTTGTCATAGTTACAAGTTGAAATATGCATTAGACTGTCTTTCTCCATCAAACATACTTTTCAAGTGTCAGAGCTGATTTAATCTTTACACCCATAGGTGAAATCCCCTCATGCAACTCATAATTGGCTTTCTGGATAGCAACTCCTTCCCTGTGTGTTACTACAACAGGCCCAAGGTGTTTGATACTTGTAATCCCTTTACAGCTAAGGGCACAGTACAAACAGCTGGGTCAAGCGGCATTAAATAACTTTTTCTAAAAAACTTCACTATTAATTATTAATTCTGAAGTTTATAACAAGCTAAGAAAAGAGACAAATATCAAGCTGTTTCTTTCAGAAATTTATTCTTCATTTGAAATGGCTGGGAAAGTCTCATTCTGTCTTCTCTGTGACTTTGGAAAGTCAGAGAGTAATACTGAGTGTTTGCGTGTTTCAGAGGTATATGTCCAACCTTTTTCCCCTCATGGATTGGAAGTTTTAATGTTTTAAGTATCCCTTTGATCTTTAAGTGTGCCCTTTAAGTCACTTTTGGTGTGTTGTGCTGCAAACTACACTTAGCTCTGTTCCTTCTTCACCCAAGTTATCACCAGTTGTGGTGATCAATGTCATGCGTATAATTACCATTATTTCCATTAGTGGATGAGAATAATTCAAAAGCAATACCTTGTTAAATTTCCATGTAATAAAAATTTTAATACTAGGAAGACCAGGTCATAAAATGAGGTGTAAAGCATTTGAAATTTATTGGGGGGTGGAGGTGGGGCTGAGCAAGCTTAGAAAAGAAAGGCTTGCATATCTGTGCTGGTCTTACAGGTGTACCAGAGCTGTAAACTCTCTTGGTCACCAAGTAGAGGGAGCGTGGATTTGTGCCTGCACCGAGTCCTTGCTAGAACTCAACACTTCCTCGTACCAGCCTTTGACTCCACAGCTTAGCAAAAGGAAGTGTTAGTAGAAGTAAAATTGTAAAAGAGAAAAAATACAAAGCAGTTTGAATTTATACGTAGGTGAAGTGTGCTTGTTCAGCTGCATTGTACTTCCCTCACAATGCTCTCAAGCCATTTTTCTTGCCTGGTAGTTTGTAGTGCCATTTCTACTATTAGTTTGATTTCTGGATGGGAGGTTAAATGCTTGCTTGCTTTCTTCCATTCAATATTTTATCCACTTTAAGTTAAATGTCACATTTCAATTCCCTCTAAAATGAAATTGCAGCAGAAGTTTACATTGATTTATAACCAGTGATGATGGCTTACATTTTCCTTTTACCTTGTTCTGGAGCTGAAAGAAGAATATTGTTTCTTTATTTCTCTAATGTATCATTCTGTTCAGTTTATTTCATACACAGCATTTAGCATTGCTCTGTGAAGAGGCAAATAATTACATTTAGTATCCTAAATACTTCCTGGGTTGTTACAGAATTTTCAAGATAGATAGTTAAAATATTATTTACAATATATGTATCTGGTGAAATTCATGGTCTTCTGTCTCACATTATTTTTCCATAGAGATTCTACTTAAACCATTAAAAGCTTAGGAGATAAAATGATAGGTGTTAGTGTTATTTCTTATTCCTGCTTTTACCTGTTCATTGGTAAGGGAGGCTCCATGCTTTCATAAAATGCAGGATAAATTATGCAACATAAAGATGCAGAAATATACCTCCTTCAGGTATTTGTATGCTTCAGAGATTCTGCATCTAACAGATATTATCTTTGTTGTCCTAACAAAGACATTTTCTTAAGTTTGACATTTCTGTAGCGTTTTGGTAGTCTATCATACATACAACCTGTTCAACACAATGTGTTTTGAAAGAGCCTGTTTTGAAGATGATTAGATATAGTCATTTTGTATTACTACTAGTGAAAATACTTTCCTGATTAGAGAAAGTATGGATCTCTTTTAATAGATTCCAGTCCTGTAACAGACTACTGGCATCATTTATTCTGATTTTGACTGAACTAGGCCAATGTATTTTCTAGATAAATTCATGTTCGCTCATTTAATAAGATTATTTGAGTTTTAAACCTTTCATTGATGTTCCCACAACCTGTAATAAATTCTTCTGGTAGTTAATTATTCTCATTGCTGGGGTAAAAAAAAAAAAAAAAAAAAAGGTCATTTTATTTGTAGTCTACATTTGTCTGGCACAAGCTTCCAGTCCTTTGATCTTGATGTATTTTCATCTATTAGATTGGAGTGCAGGTTTCTCATTTGGGCATTTTCAGGATCCAATCAAATTTCCGCTTCACTTTATTTTTGTAAGCTAGATAATTTGAGCACTTCCAGTTTGTCACTCCAATGCTTGATCCTCCTCAACAACCTCTTTAAATTCTCAACTGTAATACTTTGTATATTTAACATTGAGTTACAGAGCTGTCCAGTGAAAGCATTCATTCATGGGTAGGGCAGTACTCCTACGCTAAAATAGTACAAATAAGACTGCATTAATGTAGCCATTACCAACGAGCTGTTTACTCTTTTTAAAAGGTGACCTGGGTTTGAGTGAGTGGTGGGGGTTTTGGTAGCAGGGGAGGGGGCTATAGGAGTGGTCCCTTGTGAGAAGCTTCTCGAAGCTCCCCCAGCTCCAAGTCAGCTCCACCTCTGCTTGAAAACTGAGCCAATCAGCTGTGCCTCTGCGATAACGTATTTAAGAAGGGACGTGGTGACAAGCAGTTGGACTTGTGAGGAGGAGTTGTGGCAGCTGCATGAACACCAAGGTCAGTGGAGGAACGGAGGAAGAAAGGAGGGGGGAGGCATTCTGGAGCAGAGACCCCCCTGTATCCTGTGATGAGGCAGCAGGGCGGCCCCCCCCTGCCACCCATGGAGATCTACGGTGGAGCAGACGTTGATTTATGGCCTGTGTTTTTTGGCCTGGGTGATCAAGGTGCTGTGACCGAAGAAGGCCGGGGTCTTGTGGGAAAAGGTAGCCCCGCTGCTGTAATTCAGCGCTGGGAGGATTGCAGCATGCGGGGGAGTCCCACGCCAGAGCAGCTCAGGAAGGGCTGCAGCCATGGGAGGGAATACAGTCAGAGAAAGTTAGTGACCCATGATAGAGCAGTGTGGGGAACGCTGCGGCCCGTGGGAGGAACTCACATTGGAGAAAGTTTGTGGAGGACTGTCTCCTGTGAGAGGGGGACCACGATGGAGCAGGGGGATAAAGTTCCAGAAGCTCCCCCCACCGAAGATGGAAGAAGTGGCAGCGCTGACTGCACCCCCCATTCCCTGCCCCTGCACTGCTGGGGGAGGAGGTGGAGATATCGGGAGCAGAGCTGAGCCTGGGAAGAAGGGAGGGGTGGGGGAAGGTGTTCTCAAGATGTGTCACTGCTTCTCACTGTCCTACTCTGTTACATGTTGTTAGTGTCTGTAATAAATGTATGTTGTTTTTTTTCCTTCCCCTATCGAGTCTGCCTTTTGCTTGTGACCATAAAGGGGGATTTTTTTTTCCCCATCCCAGTCCTATCTCGAACCCCAAGCCTGGCTCTCTGTCCCTTCTTATTGCCAGAAGAGAAGGGAGAGAGAGTGGCTGCGTGGTGGTTGGCTGCCAACAAGGCCCAGACCATGACAAAAGGTTTGTGTTCATTTTGCATTAATACATAAGCAAAAATGAAACTAAGAAGACACTTTTATTTAATTTTTTAAT